AACATATGTTTTAAGCTTTTCCAGGATATAAATTTCATTTCCGTGCAAGGGATCTGCTTTCGCAGATTATTTCCCTTATGAACATTTCTGCCCAAAAACTACTCAATACTGAAAAACCAAACTATTTTAAGCCTGACGCTACCGCCCGGAAACGACTTCATTGCACCAAATCAAAACTCTTTTACAACACCGTGCCGACGACTTGTATTGATACACGATTATATGCGGATATTTTTTGGTGGGATGACATATCAACAACTTTAGAAACAAATTCGACCCGTATTGTTCGCGGCCTGAGTTAAATGGACGGCAAGGTCATGAATGAAACGGGGACCCTGGTCTGAATCTGTTAGGAGAAGCCCCTGTTATGTTAAGTGCTATGTTATTGAGATATTGAGAGCGGCAAATTCAAAATTTGTTAGTGTGGCTTGTTCTGAAGCAGCACCGAGTGAGAGCTAAGAAAATATATTTTTCATATAAACAATGTGCTGATAATTTTTATAAATATCAACACTACGTGATGTGAACTGATTCCCGCAGCATCCACCCCTTTTGCAGAGATCCGCTTTCGCCCTATCAATCTCAATGCGAAATTCCAACATGCGCATTGACACTTCCGGAGTTTGTCACTTTTTTGGCGCGGGTGTGACCATTCTAGAGTTAGGATTGTTCTTTATGTTAATAATGTTGCCTCCAATTTTGTGCCCTTCATACTTAACCACCAACTGCACCCAGCACAAATAACACAACAATTTGTTGCGGATTAGGCTAGAACTGAAAATTTCATGGAGCATAATTTACATAATTACAAAGTACGAAATGTTCCATGTTAAATAGAAACAACCGAAATTTGCTGGCGAACTATATATTTTGTTCAATAATTTAAAGTTTTGTGTAGACTGTACTTCCTAAAAAAAACTCAATATGGGATTTAAAAGCAGTAACAGTACCGTAATATATATTTAAGATGAATGAAACATCCATATGTACATAAATTAATCGTTAATATCTCTCATTCATAAACTGATTTTTTCCGTATTATTTTAAGGTAATGAAGTCCCTGGAGCCCCATGTCAATGTAGTTCAGCTTATAGGATGCTGCACAGATAAAGATCCGACATTTGTAATAATTGAGTACGTTAATCGCGGGAAGTTACAATCATATTTACGCAACTCAAGGGCCGAAAGGTAAGAACAAATTTATAAATCATATGCCCAGTGTAGTTCCCCCAGGAACTTCTAGAAGAAAGCCTTTCCGACCCTATAAAGTATATGTATTCTTGATCAGCATCAAAAGCCGAGTCGATTGTGCCATAAGAAATAGACAAACCATATTTTTAAACACATATGTACGTGTCCATTGTATATTTTTTCAGACATTATGGGAATACACACGGAAAATCGAATATATTGACATCATGTGACTTAACTTCTTTTATGTATCAAATTGCGAAGGGAATGGATTATTTGACAGCCCGCGGTGTGAGTATAGCCATATCATACCTAAAAAACCCATTACAAATATGGAAAGACTTAATGATATTGTATATGTATATGTAAATTGTATATGCATTTATGTATGTTGGCGTATAATACAGCTTAGAAGTTTTTTTACTCCGCAAGAATATAAAAACAATAAAATGTTGTATTTTATTATAGATTATTCATCGGGACTTAGCCGCTCGGAATATTCTCATCTCAGAAGATCATACATGCAAAGTGGCTGATTTCGGATTTGCGCGAGATATAATAACATCAAAGATTTACGAAAGAAAAAGCGAAGGAAAGCTACCAATAAGGTATAGTTGAAATCCGGAGATAATTTAATGGTGCATAAATAGATAATGAGAAACAATTTTTGTGGCCGTGTAAAGGATCCCCGTTGTTGGTCTAAATTTTTATTATTTTAGACAACAGTAGCAAAAAAATCATCAACAAATCAAAGGGAATATCTATCCTTATTTAGAACCAACTAAAAACTGAAAACTAAAAAAATTATAAAACTATAATATAGCAAACAATTTGACCTCAATTTATTACAGAGTGATAATGATAGTGATAAAAGACTAACGACAGTTAGTCAGTCTTTCTTTTTTAGGTAAATTTGGTCGAACATAGATTAATGTAATTAGTGGATTAACTGTGCACGGACTCATTGTTGCCTCATCAAAATATGATGTTTTGCAGAATAATTCAATATTCTTCTATTTCGATACGAGTACTGTCGAAACTAGAAAACTACACCCTGAGAATGGACAAAAATCTAGTATTTTACTGAAATACCAAACTATCGTCAGCTGATAATAGAGCTGCTATAACAGCTACATATAAACAAAAAACGAAGTAACCACTTCATTTGATATTTTCTTAGAACTAAATTTTATATTTTCTGCCAAACAAAATTTGAATTGATATCGAAATAGCTTCTGTGTGGTATTATAATACGAAAAAGCCGAGCTTAGCTTCTCCTTAGAATATTAATTGCTTACATTTTGTATAGCTAGGTCTTATGTTGATCTGCGTGCTATGATTTAATTAGGAGTTGGATATGTACATATATTAAGTATATAAATATGTTTTTTAAATAATGATTTCATAAAACCATATTTTTTCAGATGGATGGCTACCGAATCACTTTACGATAATATATTCTCCATCAAATCAGATATATGGAGCTTTGGTATTTTAATGTGGGAAATTGTAACACTGGGCTCGACGCCTTACCCCGGCATATCTGCTGCCGATGTTATGAGGAAGGTGTGTACAGAAAATATATTTTTTATAATCTAAAGTGAAAATAAAATTAATTGTTTACTTCTGGTACAGGTAAGGGATGGATACCGCCTGGAAAAGCCCGAACACTGTCGTAGAGAGCTTTACAATATTATGTACTACTGCTGGTCTCAGGATCCGCATGAGCGTCCCTTATTTGGGGAAATAATTAATATGCTTGACAAATTACTGCACACTGAAATGGACTACATCGAACTCGAGCGGTTCCCCGACCACAATTACTATAATATTGTTAATATTAGTGGAGAGAAGTTGTAGTTCTTCACGCTTTACATATCACTCACCCTAAGAGCTTTATTATTACTATAAGATACCCCAGTACTCATATTAAATATATTAAATCATTCACTCCATTAAGTTAACATTTACTGGTCTTATTTTGCTCGAGAATAACTGTCAATACTTTTTTCCTTTTCGGTCTGGACACTGAAAGACCAGAAAGCTCTCTTAATGAGCAAAACACTTTTTGTGTCTTCGCTTGTGTTATCTGTTTCGTGTTATCGGTTGAGACGACACATGATCGTGACTCACAATAGCAACTTAAGGAAACAAATTTGATCAAGTGTATCTTAATGATAAAAACTAAAAAAGTGTCTGCAAAAAGGTTTTTTTAGTTTTGCTTGTGTTTATGCTTATGTTTTCATATTTTTATAGATGTCCAAATTACTTGCAAACTCCACACAGACTCATTTTACGCGCCAGTAAGAGATCAAATCGCATACTGAGTATTCATACATAAACAAAATACGGTGGTTCTACACACTCTACAGCAGTGATCGGCACGCATACATTCAGTTTTTTTGCAGTGCGTTTGTGTGATATTCCACTGATAAACTCGTGTACGTGTGCGGCAGCGCTGCAGCAGTCAATAAGATAGGGCCGACAGCTGCTCTATAGAGATCTATAGAGGCATTGCAGCTATGGCAGTTCTGCTATGTTCGTTTGGCCTGCTTTCTACGCACACAAATGCACCGACCGCTAATACAGATATGTCGCAATACAGATCGCAAATATGTATTTATAAAGATCGTTGCTATAGGCACCACACTCAAATGCAGACATGCTTAAACGCGGCAAAGTGCTCAGTAAACGAGCGCAAAATAAACCGCAGCAAAGGCCGCTGCTTTACTTTTACTTCTACTCAGTCAGTATATATTTAAGCTCATTATTTATTTAATTTATATAGTATATTTTTTTTATATGTCGATTTGTATAGCTGTACGCAAAAGCAACTAAGTGAAAAGTTTTATAGATTTTTTATACAAATCGGTCGAACCGTTGCAACGGACCCCAACGCATTGGGGAGATTTGTATATATTCGATTTAATCTGTTTTTATTTTCTTCTTTACCTTTTTTTGTACATCTGTCTATTTATTCAATTCTCCCACCAACAGTAGCCGTTCTATAGCGTTCGTTCCCCCAGAGTGTGTGAGAGAGAGAATAAGTACATAAGCCCTTGGAAAGGGTTACGTAGCCAATGATTTTTTCATTTTTTCCTTCTTGCTATGAAATTGATCCAAACTTAACTCCGCAATCTGGTGGATATAGTCATTCTCTATGATTCTGCGTTTCTGGTTTATTAGTATATTAAAAATTGTGGATGGCATAGACTTTTGTCCTTTGTGGCGGCGAAAGGGGGTGGGGAGAAATTTTGAAATACTCTTGTCACTGTGTGATATCACAGGAGTCACATTGCAAAATGGCCGTATCTAGCAGATTAGCGAATCTGGATTGCACACACATGTTTTTTCCGACTATTAATGGAATTTCTATCGATTGTTTCTGTGGAACTTTCATAATTCCGACAAATTGTCACGTATTAAGAGTCAAATTAGTTGAGACAACTTTAAAGCTGTGAGACTATTGTAGTGTGCAGTGCAACAGAGGGACTTACGGACTAGAAAATATTTTTCATACTCGGAGATTATTTTTGCTGTGCTTAACAATTACCTGGCATTTATTGAGTATCGTTTTTAAAGAAAGCCTTAAACACACAAATTAATTTTAATATTATTAGAAAAAGTTACATGCATACATATGTACATATGTATAAATGGTTGAAAACATAAAAATAATTTTTAGTTTTGTAAAAGATTTCATGTTATATCATTGTATAATAGTTAAAAAATAATATATTTTATTTTGCTTATGAAAATATTGTACATTTTACTATCCGTAAATTTAAAACTTATATGTACAATGTTTATACTATCTTAAGCTTCACATAAGTTCAATGCCAGCATATGAACCCCTATTGCACCGCCCACTGCCCTTTAATAACACAACTTATGTAGACACTTATATATTTTAAATAAAGTGGTCATTGCTCGAGCTATGCAGCTTGGTTTCTTCATTCTCACGCTCCCACTCGATCATTTTCGATTGCATAATTAGATCTTGGAAGGATCCGTACTCCGTGCTTTGACGTGACTTAGCTATAAGCCCAACATCGCCCTCATCATCATAAAGATTGTCAAAGTCGTATTCAGTATCCTTATCAGAATCGGTTGGGATATGCTCTTGCTTGTCATAATCAACTTCATTTTGAACATCACGGTCGTGATAATTTGAATGAATTTTATGTTTCTGATAGAACATCTTTAATAAATAGTCAACATTCTCTGACGGCACGTCGGACACCATCTTAATTGCAATCTTTCGGCGAGATCTCTTCATTGGTTTCAGAGGCTTATCGTCATTTTCCAGCTCGAAATTCAGGGAAGTTTTGAGCATGCCCTTTGATGCTGTTAACTTTTTAAGCACTGATCTGTAAAAACTCGTAAACTCGTCCCTGTTTGTCGTTTTTTGGGACATTAACATTTTCGAATTTTCCCTAATGAACCGGTTTAGTAATTCTTTCGTTCCTTGTTGGTCCTTTTGTGATTTTAGAAGATCGACTATAAGAAATAAAGAAATATATTTCGCAATTGTTAGTTAAACTTCCAATCAATCCAATTCCAATAGCCAAACATCCACAATAAATTGTGGTAGGAATACATACTTTTCTCTTGTGATAGTCCGAGTGTGCTCTGAAAGACACCCCACTCATCTTTCCGAGCCTTTGCGTTGCCTCCAGCTCTTCTGGTAGCTTCTGGCATTTTGTCTGCCCTTTTAATATATAATGCCAAGCAACTTTCGTGTACTGATAACAGTAAAATAATTATTTTCGCAAAATGCATTATAACGTGATCTGCGCTGTGCTGTGCTGCGATGTGTATCATTCGAGACGTACTTCAAAATGATGCGTTGTCCTTAAAGTAGCTACCTTTTATACATTTTCAGGCTGGGTACACGGCTAGTTCGCGTTAATTCAGTTAACCACATACAAAAATTGCATAGTCTATCGTTGACTCAGACAAAGGTTATTCTTGACACTCTAGACTTTCGGGGCACAGGCGCCCGGAGTCAAGACTGGCAACCGGGTAGGACGACATGTGCTTGATTGAATGTTGGTTCCTTGTTTTTCTTAGGAACACTTAGCACGAGCAGTGGCAATTAAATGGCAAACCGAAACAAAAAATAGTACTTCTCCGACCTCACTCATGCATTGGCCCGCTTCATTACAGGTAGCGGACCAGGGCAACCGAATGATTTGAGAATTAGAGTGTAGGAACATAATTGAGTCGCTTAACAGCGATGAGAACAGAAATATGGTTGCAGTTGCAGCAATTGGTTTCATGAATGTAAGCGCGTCTCCCAGGTAGACAGACTCTAGCCATTTAAATGCGAAAGGAAGTACAAATAAATCCTAGCGCCAGCCATAAACGGATCAACGGCGTCGATCTCAATCCTAGTCTCTGTCGACAAATTTGTCGCTAATTATTCTTGAATGCAGGTTTTATTGATGTAATATAAATAGTGAAAACGCTGTTCTCGTTACGCACAGACATAAGAGGCTAAATCAAGCATCGTTTCGAACTTTATAAAACATGTAACCGCAACCAGATGTGCGAGTCCTGAACTCGATTTACGACCAAAAATGCAACTAATAGAACAAAATCTACAACAAAAAAACGATGGTTGTTCAATTCGTCTATAGAAATCATATAGAAAACGAGAGTAAGGATAGTTTCGGGGTCTAAGGTGCTAGCAGGCATATATAGATCAATAATATTTCACCTAAAGCTGTAGGATAACTAGAATTGTTAGCTTCATCTCATATATCAGCGGGTAAAGCTTTTAAAAAAAAAACCACATGTCATAAGGTAAATCTTTAAAAACCAAATTGTTTCTTGCAATTTTTGTAATGCTATTTAGTTTATATTATATTTTGGTGTCTGGAGCTGTAACATACATTTTATGTGATAGTTGTTTTTCGATTCAATGTTTAAACAGAAATTTATAGGAATAAAAGGTTTTAAGAGTAGATGGAAAGTAAATTTGCCAGGAAAAATGTTTCCCACATTAAGCTGTAATGAAATATTGATCGCGACATGTATGTTGCATGGGAAAAGCATGAAGAGAAAGAGAGGACCACAGTTTATAGTTATGTTCTAACGGTAATTCTTGCATCTCTTTCCATACCGCTGGTATGGTAATTCTTTAACTTATCTTTAAAACTGGGCGATAGTGAGTGTAGCAAAATGTCGAAAAAAACTTGAATCAGTGTGACATCACTGGAGCCCGTACACCAAATTTGCTTGCTTTTATAGTCTTTAAGAACAATGTGTCAATCAAGACGGACGGACGGATGTTGTAGCAGTATAATTAACCAAATCTCTAGTCAACCGGGACAGCCTGCTCTGGCAACTAGAATTTAAACTCAGTTCGAAATCGGCTGGAACGTGAATCGATGGCACACGAATCAGAATTTTGTTGTAGTTGATTGGAGGAACACCCCCTATAGACATTCATTCTAAATATTTACTAAGCAAGCTCATAAAATTGTGTTGTATGAATTTGTCTGTAATTTTATTTCTACCAATTTACATATTGAGTAAACATATTTCCTACGTACGCCGTTGTTATAGAGACAAAAGTTTCTGTTTATTATTTTTAACAACAACAAAAAAAGGCAAAGACAAAAAATGCCGAAGGTTTTATTCCAGAAGTACAAAAAGGTGACCAGCACCATAGACCCACAGCGACATGCTGCCAAATTAAAAGAAATTGACGAGCTTCGTGCAGCAGAGCAGTCGGAAGGGGAGTTTGGATATGAACAGGATTCTGAGGAGCTTTGTGAAGAAGAAATGGGTACCTATGAGGAAAGTGAATTTAGTTTATCAGAAGGTGAACCAGCCTTGAATATCGGAAAAATCGACTTATCATTTCCCGAGACAGCGGACGAGTACCAGGACAGTCCACAATGCTATCCTCCCTCATACTATACGTTATCCCCAAAGGAAAGACTTCTTTTACTCTATGCAGAGAATTTTCGCAAGCAGTTTGTATTAATCTACCCAAAGCGACGGCCAATGGTTTTGGCCTTACCTAACGAATGCAGAGTTCAGGTAAATCATCAAGAAACAAATTTTTATTAAGAATATAAACAGCCAAAATTTCCATCTTTACAGAAGTTTGTATGTACCACGATTAGACCCACGGCCTTTATATACCCTGAGCTCATATCAAGTATAGAGGAAATTTCAAAGTTTGTTGCTGATTTTATTCAATTTGAACCGCTAGAGGACCAAGTCAATTTGGTAAGAAAACATTTTGTGTACGCATCTAAATAAATTTCGGTGCGAAGGCCCCAACTTATATGGGCTGAGTTGTTCTAAGGTCAGACTTTCTTGGAACCCATTTTTTCATCGGCAACGCCGATATATAAAGAAATTTAAGAAATAGAAAGAGAATGACATTTGAAAAAAGTTTGTTAAAGATATATATCAACCCATTTTTGATTTTTCAAACCTGATATGGCGAGATTATTTGCTTTGAAGTCAGATAAATCCAAACTTGCGATAATTAAGTCTTCGTTAACAGATTTTTATACAAAAATTCGGAAATAAGAAGAGGAAGACCACACCTACGGGACCATCAAAGTAAGATAGAATTCTTAAGCGTTCAACATCGAACATCGAAAATCGGTTCCAAATGGCATAAGATATTAGAAGGGAGTTTGTTCAGTCCGTAGGTAGTGGTATTACATTACGGTGGCGTCTTTAGGCGACAGGACAGAAAAGGCGGCAATGGTCCAAACTCAACGAAACTTGGAATGTAAATGAATGATAGGGAAAGTATGGTAAATGATCGCAGTAACGAACGGTATGCCATGGATGCAGCAGGATGTTTTAAGGATGTTTTTATAGTCGATAATCAGTGATATCAAACTGAATGTTTAAGAGAATGTTTAAGAATTTTTCCACGCTATTTTCCGCTCCCACAAAAGTCGAAAATCTGTGGCATCCACAATTTTGAAGATACGAGAAAATTAAAAACGCAGAATCATAGAGAATTGTTCATTCAATATCAGATCAAATTATTATTATAGCCTGAAGGAACACATACATTTCCAGTGGCTTCCGCGCGCTTACTCACTCCCTCTCTTTCAAAAACTCTTCATCGTGCAGTGTGCGCCCTCTGACGGAAGGGAGTCGTACTGATTGACTATCGGGTATAAATGTAAAAATTGCCAGTTATAGGGGCGGAAGGGTGGAATGTGTTCGGATTGGTCTGAAATGTATTTCAGTTCCTAAATATAATCAAGCGTACCTAGTTTAAAATTTCTAACTCAATTTTTCGAATTTTTGCCAAAATCTCGGCTGTCTGGCCCAATTTGCATCGCTGCGAGAGCGCACCCACAACCAAACTAACACCAAAAACCATCTTGAACAGCAAGCAATCATATGAGGTTGTTTACGCTCAATATTAAATTATGTATTCTACGTTCGTACTCGAGCGGATTATCCCAAGACCAAACAGATTTGCGCAGATCTCAAAACCAAGGTTGCCAAATCAATAAGGGGGAAAAAAGGTTTGAGACTCTACATACACACATTGAAACCATTCAATTCTTTCGCTCATGAACGATTGGCGATAGCAAAAAAACACTAAAACAAATGTAAATAATTTGCCAATTGCTAAGCGTCGGCGGCGACAACGGATCCGAAGCCTGGTCGTCCTTTGGCTCTGTGAAGCTCTTACCGATGCGCGTGCGACAAAACTACAGAAGATAAGGCCATACGCCGCTGCGAAAAAAATTGGCCCAGCCTTCGCAGAGCAGGGTGGTCGATATGCAAAGCTGGGGGAAGTAGTGGAGTAGGATTTTGTTAGCTGAAGAATTTTGACAGATATTGTGACTTTTCACTCCCCTTGTTGGGCAGTCTGTCGTATGCAGCAATAGGCGGCCTCTCGCTGAAGCTGATGTAGTTCTTGGGTGGGATGCAGTCGACCCCGTCTTTGGCCAGCTGGAAGTGGATGGGGCAGGCACAGATCCTCATCTCCTGGTCGAACCTGAGCCCCACCGCATGATTGGCTTCCGCTATGATGGTTTGCAGCTCGGATCCGTCCATCGCAGCGAGGCGTATGGAGTCAGAGGACCACTCTGACCAGTACATCTAGCTGCGACGCGGCTCGAGGACCAGGGAACGCGGCTGCTTCACCTCGTACCACAAGACGCGCACCCTCGGTACAGCATTGCCGTTGTACAGATGTAGTTTCTTCGCCCGCTGGCCTGTTGAATAGACCGGTCTGGGCAGCTATTCCACGTGGTGTACTCCACGCTGCACAGGATTTTCCTTTTGTCCGCCGGTTGTCTGCGTATTTTCCAAGGATCAACTGCAATCCAAATTCCAATCGTCTTTGGGACGCCTCCAACCTGTTATAACGCAATGTTTCAGCTGCTTTCGTGTCCAAAAGAGTATATATTTCGAAGGGCTGTGAATCCATTTCTTTGGGATTTATATTCGTCTCTACAATTTTTAAATTTTGTTCAGTTTGTTATATTGTCTGATCCTGATATGGGATTTATATTCGTCTCTACAATTTTTAAATTTTGCTCAGTTTGTTACATGTCGAATTCAAAGTAACGGGTCCCATAATGGATAATGTCGTACAGGACTGCAAGTGGTTATCTACGGAATCAATACCCGATTCAAATAGAGCATAAAAGAAACCCGTTTCGAAGAAAAATGTTGGGCTATCGATACTATCGACTGAAATCACATACATTTTCCTAACCCAACCTCAAACTCGGCTCTGAAATAATTGGTCGGGCAACAACATTTTGCGACTTTGTGCTAACAGCTGACGCAGCCCGCTTAACAGAACCAGAGCACAGACTGTTTTCGTAACAGGCGAGCAACAGAACGACAGAGCATTTTTTAGCAATTTTACAATAATAATTATTTGGCCGCCATAAAACTAAATGAGTGTCGGCTGTCGAAGGTATTGACAATAAATTAATATGAAAAAGTTACAAATGCTTTTCACTAAAATGAAAACATTCTTCACAACACTGATTCGCTTCACAACATCCAGTTTCATAGCAGCTAGCTTGTTAATGTAGCAATCTATAATGTTATCGTTTGCTGACAAAAGCTCTCTGCCCTGAAACTGATATGCAAGTTGAAGGTTTGCGCGTATTTCAAATGTGCGCAACTGTTAAAATAGTTGTACATACATATATGGGAATTTTCGACAAAACATTTCCGACAGACATTTTAACAAACATAAAAAGCTAATAAAAAGAGATTTCCATATACTTTTGTACAGATATTATTTTCTAAATTGATTGAAAGTCGACCAATTTTACCAATTGACATATAATTTCGTTTAATTTGATTTGAAAACCTATTAAAATAAGTAAAAGTTCACTTTTTCGATAATTTATGTTATTTCATAGTCATGTTTCCTTTTACTATTATCCCTTACAAGAGATGTGATTCATGGTACAAATTTTTCCTTAAACATCTCTAATATATTGAGCTATATACATATCTAAGAAATCCCAAAAACTTGCCCAAATCTCGGCCGACGGTAAATTTTTAAACTTTTATTACCCTAGTGTAACTTGGTAAAATAGCGCCAGTAAAGTACATTAGATGCCTAGATTTATAAAAAAAAAACAGGAAAAACAAAACCCAGTTCTGTTTTTATTTTGATCTATATCTTTAAACAGTATGTTCGATTGTTATTATTTTTTTTTTGGTTGAATAAATAATTTTATTTCTAAATTTGATTTTTTCATTATTTTTGTTAAAGATTTTGTCGGACGAATAGTAATAATAATACCATATATTATATAGAAATATATACCACCAGTGGTGCTCATACACTTAAGCCACAAGAACTGCACCAAGAATTTCAACGAAAATCAAGACAAGTTTTTATTTTACAGCTCAAATTTTTTTGTCTCAAATAGTTCTACATGTAGTGTTCTGATACGAAATAATTTAAAAATCTGAACCCATCTCCAAAATGTCCTGCTCATATACTTAAGTCACCTGGAAAAAAATGGTAAAAAATTCAAATTTGCCCAGTATTTTTAATAAAATTACTTTAATATTGAGTGGGATGACCTTTCTTCTTAAGAAAAGTGGGGCAATGCTTTGGTATTGAAGGGGAGTTTTTCTTTCATTCTTCCTGTAAAATTCGGGACAAATCCTTTTAATTGCTGGTTTTTTTTTTGGTCAACTACTTGGCTTAGAATTCGCCACAAGTTCTGTGGTGGTCATTGCAAAACATTGGTTCCCTCTTGGTTGAGCTGCAGCAATGTATCGGTTCGTTGTCCTGTTGAAATATCAAGTGGCTAGTGGCAAATAATCGGCATATTCTCCAGATAAATTGTTACTCAGAATGTCTCTACATTTCGGCGTTCATAATACCTTGAATCTTCACCAGGGGACCTAACAATGGGCTTAGGTCCCCTGGTAAAGATTCAAGAATGTCCATCAAGAATGTTAAAAAGCGCCTTCAATTCGCCTTAGAGCATATTCACAATGGTCCCAGTTTTTGAAATATGATTGTTTGGATCGAAAAATCCAAGTTTAATTTCTTTAGAATTAAATCCAAAATAAACAAAGAAGACCGTTAAACAAGGTGGCGCTTCGATCATGGTCTCGGGCTGTTTCACCGCATCGGGTGACAGGTTAAATGACACAGTCAGGTCCATGTTAAGTTCAATGTTAAAAATAGCGCTGAAATGTATTTTTAAATGTTTTACAACTTCAATTTCTCCCGGGGCTTCGCTGCGTTAGTCTGGGGTCATCACAAATGCATTTGAAAATAAATCATTTTGCTAAAATAAAAGGCAGTTTTCAGTTTTTTCTTGTCAATTTTGGCCTGTAATTTTTAACATTCTATACTATGGGTTCCGAAGACCACTACATCATTAACGGAACATTGCATCGGTGGGCAGTGGGTGGATATGGTGGAAGTGCAGCTGCCTGCTGGAGGATCCGCTGACTCGGCATCGGCGGCCCGATCTTGGTCAGTGATGCCTTCGTCGGGTTTTCGGCTGTCGATATTGATATGTATATATTTACAAAATGTATGTTTCCATTAGTTTCAAGCAAACCGTACATACTTATATATTATTCTTATAGCCACATTTATTGATGGTTTTTTTTTAGACCAAGCTTTGAAGCACTTTGAAGAAATTCTAAAAATCCATCAATTGGCACTAAACAATTTGGCACGTCTAATTTATTTATAAACAGCTGAGCTGTAGCCGTTTGACCAACTCTACCAAGCTCACATTTTACCGCTCCTTTTTAGAATTTATAATTATTTTCGTTGATTATGATTTATTTACTGACAAATATATAGAACACAATTTGGCTGAAATAGCTTCAGAAACAAACACGAAATATTGTCATACCTACCCTACTATACATAGGTATTTCCATAGTTCTGTTTCGTGTGAATGTTTTGTGAATTCACAAATTGTTAACAAAAAAACGTTGCCCCAATGCCTCTTTGCTCTCCTGCTCCTCATTAAAGAAGTGCTTTAAACACACCTCGAGCGAGTTTTCATGGCAATTTTTGAAGTCTCTTTACGATTCAATGTAGTTAACCTTCAGAAATCATTAAAATAATAATTAATACAAAGTTTTTGGATGATTTTGCCATTTATATTAATTTCAAGTCCTTGATTATACTGCATTGATCGATACATATTACCATTTGTAGCGTTCAAAAACAAAACATTACAGCGAAAACCACGGGACCTAGAGCGCTAATTTTGTATTTTGTTTATAAAAGAATATTATCCTGAATAATAAATGTATACATATATTTTTCTATGGAAATCCAAGAGTCTATTTCATTGATCGTTGCATACATATGTACATATATATACGTATATATGATATGCATAAGGTTGATTGGTGCATCGTAGGTACTACCTATTGTGACGTTTTAATTCAGAAAAAAAACAATTTCATTAAAATTATCTAATATTCTTTTATTAAACATGTATTTAAAATTATTACATTCAAAGTTGTAAATGCCTTTTATTTAAATATCGCAAAAATTTTGAATCAGGAAAATTCTTATGAGCACATCGTTTTTGTATCGTTATTTTCTTAGTAGATTTATGAAACGAAACTTAAAAGCATTTGATATCAAATGCATTTTATTCATTTATACCACCTTGCACATGGAAAGTTTTTTAACAAAAAAAGTAAATTCTATAACCATTTTTCTATTGAATCGGATAAAACATAAACTTTTCCTTGTTTAAATTAACTATAATAACTACAAATAGACATTTTTAATATATACATTGTTATCATATGATTAATTAGTAAAATGTAAGTCCAAAAAGTTGATGTTTTGAGTTAGGTTACCAACAGAAAACCAAATAGTCTGTAGACGCACAGCGTGAAGCGAATGTAATGTATTATATGTAAGGATTCCGTAATAAAATTAAGGTTCGTTCTAACTGCTGGAACTTAGTTCATCGTACTGCTGATACTCGCCTATTATCTGGCAGTCGTTCGGGTCATCATCGAGGTCACAATGTACAAATTCATAGGGAGGGAAGAACAGTGAGCTCAATAGGGTGGCCGATGATTGGTAAACAGCAGGTGAAGTTGTCTGGCACCTTAAAGTTGCCGGTGTGTTACCAAGACTGCCAATTCCTACGTATGGTAGTCCTAGCCGTGAGCGTTTCGAGCCGTAAGTGCGTTTGGCGATTGCTTCCTGCTGTGCATTCGTTATATGAATATCCGTGGCTGGCTCCGAAGGCGCCAACTTGGGCTTGTCCTATTTTCGGCGTCTGATCTTATTCCTGCATGAGTCTTCCTCAGTGTTTTCCTCGTTTTCCAGCAGGTCCTTATTTGGTTTCTCTGTAACTTGAGGCTCGTTGCTGGATTTTATAGCTGCGATCAAAAATCTCAGCTGCATAAGTTGCACAGCGGTTACCCGAGGATTACTGCAGTTTTCCAGCCACTGTAGAAACTTCTCGCCATGCCTGATGGCCTTTACGTCTTCGTTGTCGCCAGTTAAATCTAAATATTTTGCCTTCTCTTCTTCATCAGTTTTATTTGAGTTGTTATTGTTGTTGTTGCTGGCGCTAATATCGTTGTTGTTGGAGTGTTGAGTGTGTTCATTGATAAAACTTGCTTCTGATTCGCAGGCCGTATCTACAATAATGGGCATATGGGATTTGATGCCCCCAATTTTGTATAGCATGTTGTCGAGGATCTTTTTGCAATCCCCACCCACGCTTCCGGGTCTACTTATACAGTCAGACGGGGTGGTACTCGTTTTAGTACAAGGTTCAGAAGTATGGCTTTCCGGAACTAATGATGCTATCGGACTTTGAGATGGAGTTATTCGCTTTGCGGATGCTGACAAATCTTCCGGCTTACCGGGAACGTCGCCTTCGATCTCTGCATCCAGGTCCGGGTCTGTCACCTCATCACCTTCTATCTGGTCCATTTGATTGTGCTCGTTTGATGATAGGCTACGGACCGACGGGGTTTCAGACTCCTTTGTGAGATGTGAGTAGAGAATATTATCAAAAGGTCCTTTCGACGTATCGGCTATATCAGTGCCGTCAGATACAGCCGATATAGGCTGATGCTGGTGTTGCAATGAATTGGCCTGCAATGCAGCTAGCGTCGCTGAGTTTGGGTTGTTAAGAGTGTTAAGGCTAGCTCCAAAAACCTTGCACCAGTTATACCAAGCCACGTTCTTCTCGTCGAGACTGCCAGATGGAGTCGATGAAGGTGTCAATGGCGCAGACGGTAGTGGTGGTGTTTGTGCGTGTTGGATTATATGCTGTGGCGTGGAGGAGCGTATTGGTGGACTTGTCATCCCCATTGGCGGATATAGGCTGTTCAGTCCGAGCATCGTCTGCTGAGACTTTAGCCAGTAAAGCAGTGGGTCCTCAGCCAAATTAGACAGTGAGATGATACTACCTACATGTGAGGGTGCTATTGATGGACTTGGACTTTTGATGTCTCCTCCTTTTGCTTCGTTTTTAATAGTCAAGTTAATGCTGCAACTGACATCGCTTGACACGGCCGATAATGGTTTTTGCTTAGCCCAGTTCTTGACGGACAGTCCGGGTGTTCGGTCGCCACTATCACTGCGTGGGCTTTGTACTTGCAGCGGAGGCTGTACACTCGGTTTTGAATTTCGCAAGTTGTTGGCAGTTGTTGGAAAACTATTCAGCCCTGACATTGCCGCAAGACTGGGATTCAGCTGTGCCAATAAATTTAGGTTTGTGGTTAGTTCATTGAAACTTATAGCCAGCGGAGACTGCGATAGGCCGGTGAGACCAGATAGGTGAGTCAAACTTGATAGGGGACTTATGGCGTTTGGGGAGGGATTTGCGGGTCGGTTGATATCGCCACTGAATACTTTATGCTGACCATTGAATCCCACATAATCAACGGCTAGCCCATTATAATTCAATTCGGAGATATTTTTGTTTGTACTATAGTCTAAGCCGTTGAGGGGGGCGCGCTTAAAGCCGAGCTCATCGAATTTCATTTTGTTTGAGAAGTTCAGCGGAAGGGAGGGATCGATGCGCTGCCTCTTCTCGGGTGGTCCCAGCAGCCCTGTAGAGACATCAAGCTTATCGGCAAGCGCGTCGGCGCACATCTTATCTGTTGTCGACTGGCGCGACATGAAGCGCAGCTTATCCTCATTCTTGCACCAGCCGCGAAGCGTAGACTCGGGAACGCCAATGTCCCTGGCCACAGATGCCTTCGACTCGCCATCGTGTATGCGCTGTATGGCATGGATTTTGTCCCGCGGGGTCAAGCTACGCAAAGGTCGCTTGCCCTTCGTACCCATCCGAATGTTCATGTGGGGGTAGCTGGAAATATCCAACTTCAAGCCGTTGTCGAACAGTTTGAGTTCTGAAAAAAAAAAACAAGCAGATTTGGCGAGTGCTAAAATTAATTATTGTGACACAGTTAGGACTCAAACGCATGTTATGATCTAGTAGTATATAAAACTGTACGTTTTCATTCGCTAGCATCAGGCACACAGCCACTTACATACGTATGCACATATGTACATCGACGGCGAATGCCGTGTGCGCGCGTCATGTACTTGTTCTACGTTCTACTTTTGGGGTTGTACGGGTTGGGGTCGAAGCAGCGAGTCAGATGTTCGTACACTGCTCCAATAAAATCGTCTCGCGTTTGAAACTTTTCAGACAACACGCGGTGTAAATAAACCGCGTACACAAACTCATTTATCAAAAGGTATGTACATACATATGTATGTATTTATGTATATGTACATAGACATATGTACACAACCAAACGCTACAAATTGAGATGACAAAAATTCTCATGGAAACGCCACGCCGCTGCCTTCTTTTGCTCCTTCTCTTTTCTTCCCTTCTCTTCTCTTCTCTTCAGCTGTATAGGCAAATGAGCTGAGGCACGCCCCCCGTGCTTTTTCTCAGCGCACAAGGATTCTAAAAATTAAAATGCCTGAATACACACACACACATACATACATACTGTATATGAATATTTATTTACATAAATATATACTGTTTATAAATCTACATACACACGTACATACATATGTATATGTAGGTGTCTACATAGGTATATATGTATATAAAACATACATACAGACATACAAAGAGACAATGGAATATGCTAATTGGTGCGTTGCCTTCGCGCCGCGGCGCGCCTGCTCCAAAATGCAGCGCGCAGCGCCGACGTCGCGAGAAAACTACGAATAAGCAACAAGAACAAGCCATTCGCTATCGTCATCGGCTTCTTTACGTGATGCATACGAACAAAACCCGTATCCATGCCAGACTCGAACACGAATCATAGCCGAGCACACGAGTCTACAGTTTATAACTTGTTACCTGTTTCGTGCCACTTTTCGCTGCAAGTTCGCTCGCAGCATTAAACATCCCCATCCACGCCATGCCAATGCCAAACACGCCTGTTGCGCTATTGCGCTATTGCGCTAGCTCCTACACCTACATCTACATCTACATCCCGGCAGGTGCATCGGAAAGTCTCTGTGCCTCGAAACTTGGTGTATGGTGAATGTAAGTGAGACTTTGAGCCTCAGTGGGCAAGTAGTCGTCAGTCGTCAGTCGTCAGTGGTCAGTCGTCAGCCAATATGCCTCTTTATAGCGGCCAGGAGCCGCAGCCGGAGCCTGAGCGGAGGCGAAACAAATAACAATATGCTCCGCCTCCATCTCCCTAGAAAGAACGAGGCATGCAAAAGAGCTGGCTCGATTGGGGAGCGGGACGTGCAATTTTAAAATGAAAAACACGTTTTGCGCATGACTGACACATGAATTCATTCCCGATGTATTGTATACAAGAACACACAGCATATTCGTACAATTTTATACTCGTACAAGGAGTGAACCTGTAATACAAACGCTTCTCTGTGCTTCTGTATCTGTGCAGAGAGGATTCATTGAAAGAGAAATTCGGCTATCTCTTAAGAGCGCAATAAGAAAATCAAGAGTAACCAAAACACCTGACAGAAGTTTGTTAGTTTTTCTTATCAAGGATGCCTTCACATTGACAGCCACTTAAAGTGAACTCAAAATGTTCGCTGTTGATTAGAAATGCCATCCTCCTAATACCAAGTTTTCGATTCAAATTCAAATTAATAGACTTAAATACGGCACATTTCTACTACAAGGCTATGTACATAAGTAGTGCGAACGGTCAAACAAATGTTGAAGTTGAAGATAAGCCTTTGGAGATCTTTACATTTCATAGATTTTGTATTACAATTTTTGTTTAAACTTTCCTGCGTCCTGCGTCTATACATACATATATACTTATATGAAATATATATATATAAAAATGTACATATGTACATAAGTATGTACTGTATAAAGAGTGAAACTAAAACTTGGGTACTATATGCAGATTTACAGCCATTTCTTTATGTACTAATTTTCTTGCTGGTCAGAATAAACATACATGAGTATGTACATAATTTATGGCTGTTGATATCTTTAGCATATCTGATAAGATCTAGTCTAAATCACTACAACTTTTGCAAACGGTGCTAGAGATAGACTATTAATGATCTAGTAGATTTCCAGTTCCTTAATTTATAGTCGCTTGCTATACAAAAAATGAAATCTACAGCTTCTTTAGTTTTTGTAAAATGTTCAGGATAAATCTTAAGAGTTTTGATACGATAATGAATGCTTAAAGGCTATAAAGACTATATGTTCTCTAAATGATGATATTTGTCCAGTAAACCAAATGAGAATCAAATACGAATGTAAAAATGTACCCCTTAATCGCAGAACTTAAATTTTGAAACATTTTTGAATTGTTTGGTTTCTGTTTTTAGGTCATAAAAGTTAGGTGTGCAAGAAATTTGGCATCCTTAAACAATACATTCGCACATCTATATGACTCTCTAAAAAAGTTTATATATAATTGTATGTAGAAGGGCTTTTGAAAATTGAAAAGTAAGACTTGGTATAAATATATCATATTTTCTTATGGGATTGGGATTGAAGATTTTCTTCAAACTGTTAAACTGAACAAACTAAGCCCACATCCGTCTGAAAGGGTGTAGAAAGAGTCGGTGCTCGAGGCCAGCCTACCTTTCTTGTTAATTTTTTCTCAAACAGGCTCCAACGGATCTTTCTGCCACTAATCTTGCCAAGGCGGACACAAGAAATATGGTACATATGTATGTTTGTACATATGTACATCCATATATCAAAAAGCATAGACATTCATGCATCACATTAAGTTCCCAAAGGGACGGACATCCCCACATACTCAAAACGCTCATAACCAATAGAGGGCAAATATCATGTTGGCGATGCACGTGTTTCTACTCCTACTCTACCATCAGTCCAGTCGAGTCCGCCAAACACATATCGAATAAAAGTTTTACAGCTGTGTAAAAATTACAAGGTCCTTCACCATTCAGCAGTCATGGCGAAAGCAAAAGAATTTTTACTTTCTCTTTCGTACAGTGTCCGTCCTTGTCCCAGCCGGCGCGCCATTAAACTTTTCATGAACCAAACTGGGACAGTGAGAAGTGTGTAAAAAATCTAGTAACAACAGAAAAAGATGAAAGAAATAAATATAAAAGAATTACACCAAGTTTGTCAGTGTGTACATATGTATGTATGTAGGAATGAATGTATGTATGCATGTATGTATGTATGGGCAGAGTACGGTTCTGTCTGTGTCTGGTGCTGCTGCCAACCATACATGCAACGTTCATATGTATGGGTGGATGTACGTAACGGATCTGTATGTATGTACGTATGTACATACATAAGTAGGTTTGTTTGTGGTGGCCAACCGTCTGGCCGTTTGTGAAAGTACGTTTATATATTATATGTATGTGTTCATGTGTTCCTATATACACACATACATACATACATGTATGAAAGCGTATGAACGTTTGTGTGTTAAAAGCTCCTGATTTTCCTATATACAATTATAACTTTATTGTATTTACTTTTTTTTTTCCTATTTGGCATCGTATTGAACTCACTCAGACACAGGCACAGACAGGGAATGCATGTGGCAAGGACACGGCAGGATAGGAGAGCAGCAAAGTCTGGAAAATAGAGGTCAACGACTGAAACTAGTAGCACTAATATGTGCGAGCTTTTGTATAAGTATATATATCTGTTGATTTCTCTGTTCGTTTGTGTTAATGTACAAATAAAAAAAAATAAATAAAAAGGACCAACAAAAACACTAAGCGAAGGAGACGTATTCTGTAAATAAAAGAAAAAGCTGATTTTGGCTGATCCCAATTTTGTGTGTTTGTGTGTTTGTGTGTTTGCGTGTTTGCGTGTATGTGTGTGTGTGTATGAATGTCTCGACGGGCTTAACACTGTAATCTTGTGTACGCTCGTGTGCTCGTACATACATATGTATGTATGCATGTATGATTGCATTTGTGTGTTGATGTAACTATAAGTGCCGACCTGTTGGCTCGGGTTACATTAAAAGCAGCTTATGAGGTAAATATTACCTAAACCTATTAAACATAAACTAAAGGTGTCTCCTGCAAATTCAATTTTTTCCAATTTGTTGCTATTTGATTCGGCCTACCTAACAGCTGCAACAGCTGTTAGTCGTACAAAGGCCAATGTGGCCAATAGACGATCCGAAATTTAGATGAGTCTAGTAGTGACAACGATGTACATACATCTATTTAGATCGGATGTGTTCTTAGTCAACTGAATTGGTATCTTACCCTTCTGAATTTTGTTCTAACTCATTTTCTTTGGCAGAACATTGTTAATTCAAAGTATATCTATGTACATAGGTAGCTTTAATCCCAGCCTCAGTCCTCAGTCTAGTTTTCTTAGAAATGAGCAGCGCACATTTTTGAGACGGGAGGATAGAAAAATTGTTGGATACATCTGGTCAAAATCTGATCAGTCAAGTGAAAAATATACTTTAAAATCCGTGGGCTAACAGAGGGGTCTTAAAATCGTAACTTTTGTAATCATTTTATGGATGAAACCAATGACCAAAAAAATCAAATATTGATCAGATTCTTTGTATGTTGTCGACAACGGCTACTTACGTTCGTTGCAAACTTCTGTTTCTTGCGGAACATTTAAAGAACAGATTTTTTCGACCCGAGAGGCAGAAAAGTACTGACAGCAATTACATTGATGCTGGTAACCAATGTACATACATGTTTCAAAAACAAATCTTATGTACATAGATGTAAATAAGATGTAATATGTAAATCGTCTCGTTTGGTTGGTTACCAACATAAATATATAGTACGTATTAGGGATACATCTTGGGACAACACACTTTTGACACACATAATCCCATCTATGAATGCATCCCAACAATATATTAAAGGAAACAAACGCTTATTCGCTCGGACGCCAACCACCGTCTCGCTTGTCCCAGCAACAAAAAAAATACCCTCGATGGACCGCGATTTATCAAGAATTAATGTGCAGAACATTTTCTTTCGGTCAGACATGGCTCGGGGGGTGTCGACGACGACGACCCAAACCTAGGAGCTACGTCCGTCTGTCCCTTCGATTATCCAGCTTTTTAAGAGCTTCTAGAGCCTATTCGACCAAACTCTTTTGATATCACTCGAAATTAAGTTTGATTCAAATATTATTCAAATTTCGCTCCTAAAAATTGCCCTATCTCATGAGACCTAAAATTTGGTGTATACGTAAATAAAATCTGTTTAATTACACGATCTGTCGTGGATTTCGGAGACTATTAATGCTAGAACAAGATGATTTTGGTTCTGTGATGCATCCATCTGCAGAACCGGTATAATTATTTGAAATTTGCCATGCACCCTTCTATTCTATTCAATACAGAAAACCCGCGTGACAACATCTTTGAGGATTTGTGCATCCCACTTTTAAATTCTTATAAATAAGTGTACTGTTTACTTATTTCTCAGATATGGGTGCGACCAAGTCTTAAGGGAAACGAGTTCTCTGCCTCGGACGAATATCTCTTCTCTGTTGTCTCTGTCACTCAGATGGTTTTAATACCTGGTCATCGAAAAGAGAGCGCCACTGCCGTCCCTCTCCCTCCGCCACCGCTGGCACAATCCAAGATAGACGCGTGAGGAACGTTTAACTGGAACATTTCTCTTCTTAAATCGAAGAAATTAATTCGTATCCGTTGGCCATTGAGAGGGGTCTGAAATGAGTTCCAGGTTCAGGCCTCCTTCAGTGGGATTGATCGAGCAGAGCGCTTTCTCTGTTTCGATCCCGATTGATTTAACGAGATAAATGTATTTAATATATAATTCACAGATTGATATTGGCTAAATGGGATAAAATCTCTCACTGTACCACGTGATACAAATTTTTTGTTATTTACCTGCTAAAAATCTCCCAACTTTTTAAAAATATTCAAAATCAATGGAAAATAATAGTAAGTGATTAGGATGGGTCTACGTTACAGGTTTCTGGACAAAAGGTTAGTAATAAAAAAATTAAAAAACCCTTTCCGAAGATTGAAAAGTATTTATTTTAGAACGAAAGTGTATGTCATAAACCCAAGGTCTCTAACACACATGTTACGGATATTTTTAGATTTAGACATTGCTGTATTGTTTGAAATAAATGCGTTGTTCGAATTAATATTCGCTCCTTTGACAGCTTCTCTTCGATCGTGGAACTTTTACCTTGACTTAATTCAAGAAGTGCAAAATGTTGGCACTTTTAACAAATAGTATAACTTGAAGTAATGCGCGCTTTTACAGATTAAGTATTTTGATTCCTTCGAATAGCTTAGGAGATTTTTAGGTTGAAACACACATACTAACCTTTTTCCTACACTTCCGGAGAAAAGTTGAATGTAAACCTTCCGATGAAGGAGGGCACTTTTTCTCGATTTAATAAATCTGAATAGGAATGCCTTATATTTGGATCGTCCTGGGATATTCACATAACAGCAAGTCACTTTCAGGAATATAATGGTCACTGTCTTGTGTTATTCTTTTGGTTACTTGATTGATAGTTAACTAGGAGATCAAATGTTGGTCACGTTTATGAGCTGGAAGCACTATTTAACATTGCTCTCGTTTATTTACAATTATTTGCCATCGTTCCAATCTTAGCCGCGACAGCACAAACACCGTCTTTAGGCGACCGGCTTTCGAAAGGATGTGACCTTTTTGTCGTCGACGAATATTATGCGAACCTAAACAGCTAGCGTCCGGCGACAAACTACCGCGAGCTAGCAAGCGCACAATTTGAGCGAATTTTGATTTTAGCGCGGCGAATTTCCGCACTACGATGACGGCGACGGCGACAGCGACAGCGGCATCCACGGAAAATTTAAAATCGCACGTCCACGTTATGCGCGCCTCTGTCTCAGTTGGTGTTTCGTTTCTCCTGAGTACGAGCCCACACACACACACACACATACACACACACACACGAGGTGGTGGTTGCCTTGCGCGTGTGTGTTTGAAAGAGTATGTGTGCTTGCTTAAAAGTGTATGTATGGTCAGTCGCCAGTATTTGTAGTTTTCGTTTTGTTCCTTTTTCGCTTCAATTTACGTAGCAGTGCATGTACGTATGTACGAGTGTGTCGACGCTCTCGCTCTCTGCGTGTCCCGTTGCTGCCGAATTCGCGGCCTTTTTCGGTGACAGCCAAATGTACAATGATTAATAACGGCCAAGACGGCAGCGAAGAAGTCGACGTTGCCAACGCCATTGCTCTCGTCTCGTCGCCGCTTCTGCTGGTATTGGCCAACCCAACCACAGGCCACTGTACTGTCCGGTCCGGTCCGTCCCGTCTACTTGGATGAACAGGCTGGACAGTTCGCACTCGCACTCGCACTCGCACTCACACGCACGCAGCCAAGTATTCACACATATATACAAGCATTTGTATGCACCGAAACATCAACGAAGTCGACGCAATACTCGTGCGGCCGGTTTGTAGGCTGTGTGAGACGCACATCACATCCTTTTCGGCCTTAGCAGCAGCAAGCATACTTTCTTGTTGTCATGTCTTAGTGGACGCGCCTATACGCCTATACGCCTATATGTGTGTTGTATATTTTTGCGCTGGAAGGACCTTCCGACCTGTGAACGGGTGGTCTGTTGGCTGAGTAAAGCGAGGCAGAGACCGAGACCGTTTCTGGGACCGGACCACCGTATATGATGGTTATGTGCAAAAACGAGCGAAATCGAATGATGCTGCGTGCACTGCAGCAACATGCTGTGCGCATTTGTGTGAATGTGTAGTTTGACTACTTCCAGGATGCAAATGTATATCTTAACAGCTTCAAAACAACATCGATATCTACAATATTTTTTGAATATTATTTTGAAAAGGAAAAGGAATGGGTTTTGCCGGAGAGCAACAGGAGCCAGTCTTTACTAAAGTATTAAGACTACGACTACTGATGTAACGTACATAAATAACAATTGCATTTAGTCCAACTTGGCCCTTGAGTGATTAATCCAGGAGGCGGTCATTGTTGCTGATAGCTCTGTTATTTTCGCCGCAGACTGGCTGCTGCCCGTCATGTGCTTCTCCTGCTGCTTGTGTTGCTCTTGGTTTAGAGTCCAGTTTTCCTCGCTTTGTTTTGATACATGCCTTCATCACTGTTTACATTCGATTGTCGCTCTTTCGCTCTCAGCAGAGAGCGTAGTGGTCTCTTTGGTGAGAGAGAGAGAGAGTAATGCCTTGCTGCTCTCACTTCACAGCTGGGTAGCTTTTGTGTTCGGGTTTGGTTTTGCCGCCGAACGAAGCTCTAAAGGCTGTGCTTTTAATCACCAACCATATATTGGAGGAATCAATCCCACAACGTCTTTTGGTCTCTTGTGACCAAATAGCGATCGTTAATTAATAAATGAATTAGCGTATGGAGGTTCCATTCTATTTGTATTTAGCATGTACATACATTCGTATGTACATATGTATGTATAATTATGGTACACCTTAGACGAGTGTAAAAGCCTTCAAATTATAAAAGAAAATGTCTTTATATGTTTGAATATGTAATTTATATAGCTATATTCCTAAATAAATTGTGAAGCATACTTAAGAATAATAAATAAAGAATAATAATAATAATAAACTAAAGCTGCAGGTAATGCTCTATAACGATCCTTCCTAAGATTTGAAGTCATACACACCCACACAAGTGTACATACATATTTACATATGCCATGATGTAGAATGTTTCTATTTTCTGTCTTGGGATCAATAAACTGACAAAACCTAAGATAAAAATATTAATCTTAAGATCATTTTTAATAATGTTTGAATTAATGTTTATGGAAATCTAGATGTGGAAATGACAATAGTGCTGACCAGAATTTGTAGTATATCGAAAATAATACATTTGTTGGGCATACAAGTGTTTTTTTTTTTTCCTTTCCGCTATATACAAATTTATATTAATATAGTACTTGTTTATACTAATTGAATTTGACTAACGGCAGCAGCCAATGGCCAAAATAGCAATGGAACAGACAACACAACAGCACTGTCACCAGTGCTCCTTTCAAAAAACGGCTAAGAAATGTTTTTAGTGGGCACACATATGCATACATACGTACACGCATAAATATGTACATATGTATGTAGAGACGGACATGTATACAACGGACAGAAACAATAGCACATACATATGTATGTACATAACTACAGATGTCCGGCATGGGGCGGCATTGGCAAGAAACATCCTTTCTAGTAAAAAGCCAAGCAGCCTGCCCGGGTCGGGTCATTTCATCTTATACACACCAGCCCATGGAACCACACATACAACGCACGTATACATACGCACATTCTTAGCATCCGCAGGCACATCAGCATCTTTAGCGTAAATTTTGCTGCTGCGAAAATTTAGAGTTGTTGCTTTATTGCAATACACGTGTGTGTGTGGATGTGTGTATGTGTGTATGTATATAGGTATGTGTTTATGTGAGCTAGTGTATATACTTCAGATTTTCATCGGCAGCGTTGCTGTCCTCCCCTCTATTTGTCCGGCAACCCAACCCGTGCAACCGACCGATTGTCCGTTGTCCGCCAAAGCAACATTTTCCATTTTCGTTCGTTCTCTCTTTCGCTGCCGCTACCTTCCCTCGTATCTGTAGTTCCTTGCCGCTACCTTCTTTTCCCATGCAACGGTCGATTTGTCACCCACTACGGCGACACCCTCCTCCTGCTCCTGGTTCTCCCACAGTGCCTTGGTCTCTTTTCTGTTTTGTGTGATTACGAATTCGTCGCCGTCGCCGTCGCCGTCGCCGTCCTCGTCTAAACTCAATTCACTTTCTCCCCGACCCCACACACGCGTCGATTTAACCATCCTCCAACCCTCAACTTAACCCCTCACGTCACACCTCTGTACGCAGCTTGGACGAAGGAAATTTTCGCGAGAATTGAAAGATGAAGGAGCATTGGGCTGGACATTGGTCACCGTTGCTGGACATGGTATGCGGGGTATGTGTTCTTTCTGTGGAACATACATATACATATGTATGTATGTATGTATATTTACATACATTTGTGTATGGATATTAAGGAGTGCGTATATATTCATAGTTAACTTCTATATGTTTTCAGTTATAAGCATACGCTAGTATGTATATATGTATAAATATATATATGTAATATAAATATAAATATACATAAAAAATGTATCTAGAAAAGCTGTCCGTTTTGATTTTCAGCATTGATTTCTACCCACACCTTGAAAAAATATCGTCTCGTTTTCAGTTTGACTTTAAAAAAAAATTCGTAAGATCTTCATCCTAAGGACGTTCGTTGTTTACAAAGATACTGGAACCATATGTTGAAAAGCTAACTGTCTATATAACTATCTGTCAGGATTATGGTGTAGCTATTTAAACATGGTAGATATGTTATATCCCTTATCATTGCCATTGTTTAAAAGAGTTTATCGCTTTTTATATGCATACTTAGGAATCTCCATACCAACCCACTTAAGTCGAGAAAACATGCTTACATATAATCATGGTTTCGATCCGATTAATCCATTTTCATAGACATACATATATAAATGTTAAGGATTATATTGCGAGTAGTAGGGTTCCACATCGCTTCGTATAAAGGAAACCCTAATCCGATGTCCGGAAACCTGCAATGCTGCAGAAATTGGGATGGTATATGTACATACATGTTCTTCGCTACCTAAAACTAGCACCACCCTTAAATCCAAGCAGCCAGCCCTCGCCTCTATCCATTGTGTGCAGTTTTATCTAAGCTAAGCTAAGGCGATTTTGGCAGACAAAACCGCTGCTGTCGCAAGTTGTGTCCAGTTTGTCAGCATCGGAATCCCTTTCTTTCATTATATCTCAGTGTATTCCATTTGTGCTACACACATGGTCTAGTCTAGTCATTGCTGTTCCTATGATTTGCATATTTGAGCTCGCAGCTCCTTTGTTTTAATCCGCCTCCTTCTGCCATCTTCCGAGGCTGTGACGAAGTCCGAGCTCTTTTGTCAGCAACCTTTACCTGTGTGTGTGTCCGTGTGTGTGTGTGTGTGTGTTTGTGTGTTCTTGTCATATAGAACTGATGAAGCCAGGATATCGCGTAAGGAGAAGGCAAACGTGCAGGCTGGAAATGGTCCTTCCAATCTAAGCTAAATGCAACCTAGCATTGCCTAGCTGCCGTGTTCCCGTAATTTTCCAATGTCTCTACCGTTGAGAAAATAGAGAATTCGAAACAATTGAAAAGGTAGCGATGGAGCCATGCCTTGGCAGACGCACCATTCTCGACCATCAACTTCTGACCACTTACCGGCTCTCACTATATCTGCAGTGCTGCTGCTGCTGGTCAGAGTGTGTTAGACAGAGACCACAGAAGA